ATTGAGAAGGACCGGCCCGGAAAAAATTCTTTAGGTGGTGAGCGGATTTAAACTCCGAATTCGCACCCTGTACTCAGGCCGCGAGACCACTGGGCCGGTCGAGGACTTTGTGGCAATCTTGCGTAGGTTAAATGCATGATAAGCGAGTGTTTTCATAAATACAGTCAAGCCCTAGAGATACGATAACGCGCCAAGCAGCATTGTGTGTGTAAATTCCGTGCGTATTTTGTGTATTAAATTGTTGTGAACGTGTAATTTTATTGCAACGGCCGTAGCGTCGTTCTTGCGCCAGAAAGCTATCATCGCGTACCGGCGATCAGCTGACGCCCGGCTTACAATCGTGACGAGCCGCGTTCTCTTCCTTAGTCACATTTTGTTAATATTGGTTTGTTCGCGGCTCTTAGATTGAACGGCTGCGCTTTTGTATGTTCGTGAATTACTTTCGCGATATCTATTTTCGCGTTCCGGCATAATTTGTACTGCACCGAGAGACATTCTTTGAGTAGTGTTGTGCTCGTGTTTTCCGTATCGAGTTTAATCTTTTATTTCGAAAGAGTATCGTGCAAAAACAGCATTTTGATTAACTGCGGTGCCGAATCACACGGCCTAGGCGGAGGTGCCTGCATTGAGCTGCGATTTAACCTTTTGACTGCGCAGGGCGCCTATAGGCGGTGAGAGATAAGTTGCATTCGAAAACATCACTCGTGTATATTTTATCTTTATTGCTCATTAGATATAAAACAAAGATAGAATGACGCTCGTGTGTACACAAGTGGTGTTTCCGAACGTGACGATGGTCTCCTGATGCATAGAGCACCGCTCGATTGGCGCGTTTTTCTTTCTGAGCGTCCCGCAGTCAAGACGTTAACGAGATTATTGGCGTCTTGCTATTGCCTTGATTTGCTTGCGTACCCCGAAAAAGTCTGAGTCTTTTAGTGCGATTGACCGCGAAGTGCGTGCGAGGCGGAAGACCAAATTAATCGGTGAATTTTTGTGTGCGTTAGAGTGCAACCGGAGCGTGAAATTTTACGACAAGTGGTATTGCAGAATTCGCGAGCGTACTGTGAATACGGGTCGTATATTTGGTGAACGCTCCGTTCGTGAAATTCGCTCGTAAGTTATCGCACGGGTTAGTTATCGTTAGTTATCGTGCCACACGAGTGAGGAGGCTATCGCCTCGTTTTTGGCAAATTCCGTGACAAGCAACTCGCGGGGCCGTTTCGCGAGTCCTGTCGATTTAGTGCGACGACCCTAAGGTTTTGTCGAGTTCTTCCGACGGCGCGCCTGCTTTGTTTTATCCGGAAACAAAAAAAATCAAGTAAGTTCCCGCTTACGGATGAACTAATGCACAGCTTGAATAACCCGCTTTTTTATTCTGGCGCCTCGTGTGCCTTTCGAACGCTTGCACCCTCTCGTATGTTTAGCCTGCGCCTTGCTGCATGCTGTACTTGCTTGCAGGTGCTTATTAATAATTTTATATTTGGTACACTTGGCCCAGTCGGATCCGTGCCATTCGCGACTCGTTGGTTCAACCAACTTCGAACGGCTATCTATTGTCTCGGTAGTTGCGATTTTTAATGTCATTTTGTCTCATTTGGTTGTTACGCGATAATTTTAGGAAGCTGTAAACCTACCACGTTTTTCTTATTATTTTGTCATACTTTATTCGCTTTGTTTTTGCTATATTTTTTTTGTCCGCTACTTATTATATAATAAATTGTTGTTTATTTCTCGTCTTATTCTGAGCGTAATTTACCGCGTGAGTCAAATTGCCGTTGACTGAAGGGATAGCCTGCCTTAAATTAGTTAACAAACCCGGCTCCTCTCCGTCCTAAAAACGAGCTAGTCGGCCTGTTGTGTCGAGCGACGCCGAATTTGACGCGGTGACGCGTCTGGCGCCCAAATTCTTACCAAGAATCCGTCGGCTTGACGCAGCGATTTATTCGATTGACACTTTTTTTCTCCTAAGAACTCAGTAAACGTTTTTATTCTTGCGGCCTTCCGCCCGTGTCCCGCGTTCTAATCTCCGTTCTGGAGGAGCGACGCGAGAATTTTAGTGAACATCCAAAAAAAACGTCACACCACATATAAATATTGTAATATACACATATATAAATCAACACGATAATAAATATATAAATAATAAGTGTAGAAAGTTTTACTTGCCGATAAACTTCTTACACTTCTTACACTATTGTTTAAAACACTATAAGCACATTCTAAGAATAAAAATATCTTTAATTAAAAGTATTTAGTATTACACATGTATAAATTACACAGCCACACAAAAAAAAAAAATTTCTTTGGCCTGGGGATCAGACCATGTTTATTATATGTTTTTGGGGTC